GGAAGCTACATAGTCGAAACAGGAAATAAAGGTCTCACTTCAACCCCCCCCGATGTACAATGTTCTAGAGGCATGTGAAGCCAGACTGACTAAACAAATTAGGCAAATAAAGCTGTTCACATGTTTACATTTCAACAGCATGTTTAACTCTTTTCCCACAGTTCCACTTCCATGAGAACCAACCATGTATGGGCTTATGCAAGAATGCAATTATTTTAACTATCGGTTTATACGATGTTGCTTAATTTAGCATTACTTATGTTCTATAAGTCTTAAAATTCAGTTTGGGAGTAGGAAGTCATCAAATCTGACAGTTGTTTTTGTCAAAAAAACAACTTTTTTATGTACCTACACACACTGTCTTCCAGCTCCTGAGAGTGTACAACTTTATCAAATAACAGCATAGGTAGGAGGAATGCATACAACAACAGGGCTGTGTTATTTAACATTGTGACATTTTCTGGTGCTGGAAGACAGTATGTAGGGTCATGTACTTCCCAGAGCATCATCTGCCAGACTTTAGGTGATATCTGATTCTGAAGGTACAAAGTCAGATTCAGACTATGCAAATACAGTTTAATGAAATGAGATCTTGCATAGCTAAGTCTTTACAAGTATAATGAGTTACGGTGGAATATTCAGTTTTGACCCTCTTTAAGGACATAATATAGTTCTACATTTAAATCTACTATCACACTATTAGCAGTATTATTTTTTCCAGCTTCAGTTTTTGCTTTGTGTTCTTGCATCTACAGATCCTGGGTGAATGATTTTGTGACTGTTTTTCTGCAAATTGATAGCAGTTTGTCAAGTAGCTATGCCAAACCGATGCCACACCATGGATCTCAAATTTACACAAATGTCTGTCCACAAAATGAAAAAAATAAGTAACTGTCTTTAGCTGTGCCTCCCAGTAAACTGGAATATATATATATATATAAAATCAACAGTCATTTAAAATGTTAAAATAGCCTCTGTCTTGCTTTACTGCCATAAATTCACAAAGACAGACAAAAACAACATTTTTCTTTTAAATATGTTTTCACTAGTTTACTTACAAATAACTGTTGAGAAAAACATCTTTCAAAATGCATGAAGTAAGGAATTATTTTATTATTTATGTCCTTTGAAAACATACCTGTGTCGTGTAATGCTTAATTTGTTTCTCTGCAATGGAATGGTTTAGATGGAGAATTTTCATCTGTGCTTGTGCCTGTAAGAAATCACTCTGAGTGGAGCGGTTTTCTTCTTGCAGTTGGCGAATCTCATCCTCCAATTTTATCAGCCGCTTTTCTTGCTCTGCAATCTTCGAGAAAGCATACAAAAAGGAACATAAGAAGGTTACATATTTTTCTACAATACAACTGATGTTAACAATTTTTTAAGACTACCCAGTTCTAGGCTCCTGTTGGATTTGTTTAAAAATATAATTTCCCGAGCCCAACCTCCCGATGCCCTTTGACATTTATTGTGCGGCGCTCAGGGCCCCAGCAGAAAGTAGCCTGTGTTTTCCTTACCTAGTTGCTTACTCAGACCAGTGAAGGAAATATATTCTTTACCCAGGCTTGGTTTATTTCTTCTGATGAAATTGTAATGAATATTGCTGAAAGAATTATCAAATATGGCACAAGTTAATTTTTAAGGGGCTATAGGGAGCACAAATGTGGCAACACCGTTTTGTAAATGGTCAGTAATGGCCTCTAGCAGTCTCATGTAATGTGCCTCAAGTCTGTAACATTCTATTACAGCATGTCCCTAGTCTCAAACAACTCACATAGCATGTTTGCAGCCTCTGACCATCTCCTGCAGCATGTCTGCAGTCTCTGACCATCTCTTGCACAGTAGTCTTTGATTATCTCCAGTTGCATGTCTACATTCTCTGACAGCTTTCTCTAGCAATGCATTCACTAAATAGTATGTGTGGCCCTTTGTTAAAGTCAGAGGCTGCACGTGAGGCCCCCTACATCAAACAAGTTGTATACCAGAAAGAATGTCACAGGTGATGTGAAACGGTGGCTGATAGGCCCCAAAACTCCCAGGTGGAGAGGAGACAGGAACTATGGCAAAAGGATCCTGCTGTTGAAGCATATAAGACAAATAAACATCACTTTTTATTGGTCTGATTAGTTTACTGGACGGCCACTAAAATGAATTAATAAATCAATGGATGAATAAAGGAAATGAATGTATGAAGGTCATTTCAAACATGTACATCAAATATTTTCACTGGAGCTGCCATAGTACTAGAACAGTGACAGTAGCTGGCAAAGTCATAATGTATAATAAATAATAATAATAATAATAATAAAAATAATAATAGTAAAGCAACCAGTTAAGCAGAGGCATAAATCCAATATGCTTGTTTGATCTTAATAGATCTCCTCACTGTTCTGTAGTCTTCTACGATTAGAAGAAACTACACACCAATAGAAAGGAGGTATAACATCATGCAGATAGTATCCATGGTGAGTACAGAATATATGCCCCTAGGTTGTGCAGGGTCACAGTGTCCACGTTGTAGCTTTGTGCTGTCCAAGTAGTGTCCACGATGTAGCTTCTTGCTGCCCAAGTAGACAAGCTCTTTTAACTTTATATCAACTACCATGTCTTTTCAAAGCATAAAACAGTGCAGAATTAAAAAAAATTTTTTATAACCAGAAGGGAGCAGCAGGATTTTAGGGATAAGACCTCTCTTGAAAGCCACCTGCAACATTACCTAGCTGAGTTTTCATGAAGGTCTATGCCAGGGTCACTTGAAAACTGTGCGAAACAAATGTGTGTACTTGCACACAAAGTCGTAAGACTGTATTAATTACATAACTTTGTACAGTAGTGTTAATTAAACCAGAACTCCAGACGAACAGCTAAGAACAGCCAGGGTGGTGACCTGGTGTTTCTTTTTTGCAGTTAAAGTTTTTTTTTTTCTCTTACAAATGTCCCTCAGTCAGTGTTAAAAAAAAAAAATCAGGCTACAATACTCACGTTTAATTCGGAGCTGTCATCTGCAGTACTTCTCCACAACAAGATGTTCTAAGTCGTCTGGGTTAAATGACCCCAAGTGTCATTTTGCCCAGAATAGGGTTGCTCCCTAAGGAGGCATCAACACATTGCCCCTCATTCGTAGTGTAATTGATGCATAGAGTGGTGCTGATCTCACATTAAAGTGACATTAAAGCCATAAATATTTCCCCCCTCCCACTATGCTGCCTTAAGGACTTACCTTAAATGATTCCTAATGATCCAATTATCTTCTTCTTTCCACTTGTATTCAGGAGTCCCTCCAGCGCTGGTGCCAGTCTCTGATCCAGCACAGACTTCTCATGTCCGATGGTTTCTGTATGACGTGCACGCTCCCGGCTGCGTGCATTCACCTCCACTGTGTCTCTCCTCTTCTCCCCGCTGAAGATCTCTACTGCGAATGCCCCCGCCCCATCATCCTGCACAACCAGTTGAGGAGCTCCAGATCTTCACCCGGGAGTGAGCAGTGGTGACAGAGGTAAGTAATTACCTTTCTGGTAATTACTTCAGTCAGTATACAGTATTATTTGTTAACATACTGTATGTGCATGTCACACACCTGATTGACTGCTTGTGCTGCCTCTCTTGTACAATCTCAGTGCTCCTAAACAAGTAATTACAAGAAGATGACACCAAGTCGAATACAAATACTTACACTAGCTTCACTTCAAAATACATTTCATAATTTTTTATTGAATAAGGAATGGCATTATTTTTTTGTTTTATATCTGCCTGGAGGTCAGCTTTAATTTCAGCCAGTGAATAGTGAATAGCTATTGAAATAATGAGCACTTTATTATACGTACCATAGCTTATTATGAAACTCTTATTCTGAACCACATGTTACAATTTTTAAAGCAGGCTTCCATTGTTGCTAATCCTTCGGCATCCACTGTTACAAGAGTCAGCAATGCCTTGAGGAACACTCTATACATGGAAAGCAGGCTTGGCCATGTTTGATCAACTATGTGCCATTATAAAGTGGTGAGAGAATGTAGGAAGTAATCACACAACGTTTCAATTTGACCAAACATTGCAATATCTGGGGAGATGACATGTTTTATTTTCACACTGCCTTTAAAAGTAATGAAATTAGGAGACTTACTCAAACACACCTGAGGAAAATAACTTTCCCCCTCCTGACATGGCCAGGAATATTAGCAACATAAAACGGCTTACTTCAGTCAGCTGTTTAAACTAGTGAGCTCACAGCTGCAGTTCTAAGGCTGTGATTATTAAAAAATAATTGTGTATTAAGCCTGGATTAAAAAGCGCCCTATAAACACACATTCTGATTTACAGCAAAGGAAGCCATGAAATTCCATTTACAATTACAAAATGCTTGCTGAGGCACATTACTCAAAGTTCATTAACAATCCTGGATTTCAGCTGCTCTATGAGCAGGGTAAAAAATTGAGCATCTCCGCAAAAAAAACTTCTACAGCAATAGGGATGCATTTAATGGGTAAATTAAATTACATTTTAGGTTACAGTCCTAACAGGCTTTATTTGTTCAGTGAATATCCCTGATGAATTCTAGTACTCTGCTAAGAAAAGTTGTGGTGTATCAAGCTATTGGCATGGAGAGAACACTTGATGCAGAACTTCTAGTGTGTAAAATATATTGCAAGACTTTGATAGGGAAACTGGACCAATGATCCAATTAATTAATCAGCATTGATTCACTATTGATAACAGCATTAAGCTGCCCATACACCTTGTGATAATCGGACAACACTTTTCGTCCGATGATCGAACTGTCGTACGATTTTCGTATGGCGGCCCCATCCTGCCTCGATCTTCGCAAGGTTCAATCAGCAGTAATTAACAGAAAAGCACCTGGCCGAATTGTGGTAATTGACTGCACGTATCTTCATCTGCGCATGTGTAGTGTAAATCGTACACATTTTGACATACGGAAACGCCACCAACCTTGCGAAAATCGTACGATCGACCAAAGTTTTCTAACCTGCTTGTTAGTCAAAAGTTGATCGATAGTACAGTATTTGCGGTTGTAAACTGCCCATCAACCTTACGAATATTGGACCAAAACCAGAAGTTTGACATCTGCAAGTTCTGGAAAACTTCTGGGTGAAGGACCCACATTCCCTAATTCTGCTGTCAGTTTTCTACCCCTGACATGAATACTGCAGACAGGGCCGGCACATGACTCTCGGCCCAATTCAGGATGTGGGACACTTTTCAGGGCTGGAGACCCATTCAGGCTGGTGTCTGTCATTAATATTTTCTAGTGCAGAGGTAGAAAGGACTTTCCAGCTCGTAGCAGAGGATGACTTTGTTAGGTGACTTACCTTGAGCACTCTCTCCAGAGACCGGAGGAGATTTGCTACACTCCAAAAGGATCTCAAGCTGTAATGCTCTGGTGTGGTATTGTGCATAAGGAATCCCCTCGAAAGACTACCATGAGATCCAAAAAGTGCATGTGCCGCCAAATGGATTTACACCTGAGAGCATGAAATAGGAAAACCTGAAGTTGTAGTTTGCATAGTTTTTCCAATGGAAGGAACGTCTTCACCCGGCTGGTATACATAGAAGGTTGTGCATAGAAGTGAATAGAACGTCTGGACCTCAAGGTGGCAAACACTGGTGTCAACATTTTGGTGAACATCCAAAAAGCTATGGTTACGCTGAAAGGCAAGGCTGCAAATTGTAAGTGCTGCTCCCCTACCATAAAATGCAAGAACTGACTTAACTCCATCTTTGAACTTGCAGATTTTGACATAAAGGGGTTGATTTACTAACCTTATAAACACACCACGAACAAGTATAGACCTCTGTAGTGTGTTCCCTCCCAGCATGATCTATTGGTGGAATCTAGACACCTTTGTAGTGTGTACACACCCAGCAGGTGTGTTGTGCAAAGCCCTGCATGAATTGCAAGGTGATGTTGTGTAAATTAGCTCTACATTGTGTTGCTTGCGTTGATGAATGCAAGAATGTAAATGCATGAGCTAACCATTTTTGTCTAAACTGTGAAGCAGCATTATATATGCATCATGTGCATGATTTTTCTATATATGGCATTAGTGGAAATATGCTTTTAGAGACTTTTTGGTTAATAAATAAGTTTTGCTGTGTAAAAAATCACACGCACCTAGTGTGTGCGTGTGTTTAGGTTAGTAAATCACCCGCCAAATGTTCAAGGCCTTAAGATTCAAAACAGCATGTGCTCCACTCTTTTTGAGCACTGTGAAGAGATGTGAGCTTTGAATATGTGTGCAGTTGAAACTGAGCTCACCATCTCTTGGGTCAATCATTCCTAGATGG